TTCAATTACCTCACTCCAGTTTGGACTGATAACAACTAGAAAAGCAAGGAAACCAAAATCAAAATTTTAAAAGATACTCTGACAGCTTTAGTTCAGCAGGCCCTGTCCATGGCAGGTGAAAGGAGGAGGAGATCGTTTGCAGGAAACTGATTTGCCATGCTGGAAGGTGAAAACTCGCCTGTCTACTCTGTCTCTCAGGGGTCAACAGCCTTAGGGTCTCACTGATAATGAAGAAAGCATTATTCAATATCGGAGTCCCAGCAGTCCAGACAAACAGGCAGACGTGAAGGAACTGAAAGGATTGCAATGAACTGTTTGAATTTTCATTTAGAGTTCAACCTCAAGATACTCAGTTTAATTACTCTATACAGTATATTTTACACCTTTTTATTTTACAGTATACATTTACAGTATACTTTTACATTTTACAGTATATTTCATACCTGAAGAAGGCTCCATGGCTGAAACATTGTGTTTAATTTCTTCTTTTTTTCAGCATGGAATAAACATATTACTTGTTCCTTTGCAGCCTACGCATGCTGACGTAGCTACCCACCTGAACTACTGCAGTCTATTTTAGTCTATTGTAAGATACCTACACAGGGCACAAGTGGAAGCTATGCTTTTGAGATTTGACTGGATTTGTAGCCCTGCAGAGATTTATCACCACAAGGTGGCGGTGCAGTGACACAAAAAAAAACACAGCTTGTCAGCTTTTTATTATTGAGGGGGCACTCTGCCTTTCCTCAGATCTCTTCTTGAAAGAGAGCGAAAAAGTTCAGGAATCTGTTTCAAGCTCGTAGACACAATGACATCGCTCGCCGTGGCGTCGACTGGGTGAAAGCTAGCCCTGCCGTCTCACCGCATTGCAATCTCTCCCCAAAAAGAGAAAGCAAGCGTGTCTGTTCCTTTGTGTGAGCCTGTGAGCAATTGTACTTTGATCTGGGGGTTCCTAGCTATTCCAGACAGCCTGCGCACACAGCATCTCTGCTGTTCCCTTTGGACCACTGCTGAAAATCCCAGGACATCTAAGGATAGCATTTCTTTTGTGACTCTGGATGGCCCGGACTGGGGGCTGAGAAGACAGTGAAGCAAGGAGAAGAGCATTTACAAAGACGAAGAGGAGGAGAAGAAGTCTTGAAGTCTTGTCATTTACTGGAGATTCTGCTTTTTCTACTGTTTTTTTGTGTGCCTCAATTGGAATAATGTCTATTTGGAGAAGAAAGGAGTTTCCCTTTGTTGTGAAGAGCCTTGTGCTGATGGTCTGTACTCTGGGCTACGCAGGGCAGAGCGAGAATGGGGAGGCTGGACAATCCTGTTATGGGGGCTTCGATCTTTACTTCGTCCTGGACAAGTGAGTGTCCCCCCTCACCTCCACTCCACTGTCCCAATTCCACATCCACACTAGCTGTGAACAGGCTGTAGGTGCATTTTCAGAGTAGATCACTACACCACTGGCACAAGTCAACGAAAGAGTGAGATGGTTGGTTTTATTAATTTTCAGAGCCACTCTCAACATATATTCAAGAGATGAACGTATTCTGAAACCCACACGACAACATCTGTCTTCATCAATGCTAATACATTGAAAGCCATTATGGCCATTGTTTACTGGTTAATTGCTTTACGTATGAGGTCACTGAATGCATAACTCATAATACACCAATAATACAGCTTGGTATGTTTTTCTGTATTAACTTGAGTGCTATTTTGACATCCTAAAAGATGGGCTTGATTATTATTAATTAGGCTGTTGGTGAAATATTGAACTCACAGTTGCTAGGGGATTTTTTTCACAGGAGGTTTGAATGAGTTTAGTTCTTTCTGTGCACAGAATATTAGTTATCTTTTACCCTGAAGATTTCAAACTTGAGTTTGCTCATCAGCAGATGATTGAGATGAAGTGTCATCTCTGGCTATTTTCTGCACTCTGCATTGCACTGAGTTATCTAAGACTAGCAGGGGATGTGTGCTGCAATCTAGAGTGGCTTATTGAATAATGTTTGATGCAGGCTGGAGAGTTGTCTATTCTGAAAGGGGGATAGGCTTGTTGACTGTGTCTAATGTTCTTTATTTATTTTGTGATCTGAAGCAGAGATCACCTGGGACGACCTCTGTCAAGCGGCACTTAACTGCTCAACAATCAATTCGATCCTTCAGATGAAGAAGGAGATTTGGCTGGGCAGAGAAATCATCCACTTTGCCTTCAGTCGTACTCACTGTAGGTCCTACGAGTAAGGGGAAACTAGTCTTAGAAATGGGAACTGGAGGGATGCAAAGGAAGAGAAATGAAATCTGATCTTATTGAAAAAAAAAGCTACAGGGGAATCAAGTTAATTTAGTGGATAAAAGATTCCAGTTTGTATTAGAAACTCTTTTAAATCACCAAGACAGTAGGTTGCTTCTGGGCATTCTCTAAAGACAGAAGACAGGGAGCTACTGTGTTGCAATGACTATTTGCTGGGCTGATGAATTTATGCAAAGCAACTTACACGAGCACTCATTGATATAGCTGGGTATTTTACTGGAGCAATTCAGGAGAAGTACTGTATTTGCTCAGGGGCTCAGCAGCAGTTTTACACATGGGATTCCAACCCAGAACCTTCTAGTTGCGAGTCCAGAGCCCTAACAGCTGTTTCATACTGCTGCCTTTGTTGTATTTTGAACAACATAGAAAAACTAACAGAAAATCTAACATTAAATGCACTGTTATTTATACGGTGAACACGAAGCATTTACAGAGCCAGGCAACCCACCACCAGAGACATGATGTTGTTTATTTTCAATTGCTTTAAAAGGCTAAATCAAGAAGCAGAACTGAGCGAACAGACAAAACGGCTCCAACAGCTACTTGTCCACCAGATGTGCAATTGCTTATCTGATATCTGTACACTGTACTCCCCTTTCAGAAGTTAAGAAATGGTGCAAAAAATCTACATTTTTCAGCAGTTTGTTTTTTAAAAATAATGTCATTTACAGTTTGGACCAACTCCCAGAGACTCGCAAACTTTTGTTAAGACATCAAATTGACTGTTTATGCATTAGAGAACAGAGCTCCGAGCATGTGTTGGTGTTGAAGGGAGACAAAGGACCTGTATGAAAGTTGCATGATAAGTGAAGCTCAACCAGTTCAGGCAAATCACAAGGTGCACTGATGAATTGTTCTGCAACACCAGATGGTATCTTCTGCATGGAGTGCGTGGCTGGAAGTTGCTAAACAGTGCACTCTTGCTGAAGTCTGATTTGGCTTAGTTACAGGAATGTGACGCAATTGAAAAATAACACCAAAAATACTATCAACAACTGAATTAATTTTCTGGGAATGTGCAGTGTTGAATTTCGGCTTGACATTGTGGCAGCTTAACGAACGCAAGCTCGTACCACCCCCCCCCTCTGTTTTTGAAGTATGTTATGCAAAGATTGAAATGGTTTTTCCAGTCACCAAGCCTCTTCGCGAGCGTTCCAAACAGACATTTCTGCGGCAGCTCATCATGCAACAAAGTGGAAATTAAACCAGAGATTCGAGATCCAGATGCAAAGGATGAGAAAAAAAAATACCCTTCAAACTGGCAGACAAAAAAAACACAGCTTTTGTTATGTCAGTGGTCATTCCTTGCTTAACCCCTGAAAGGAAAGGATTCCTGTGTTCCACCTGGTTCTCTCCTCCTTTGGTTTCGTGTCAGACCTCATACTTGTGTGCGCTCTTTCTGCTTGGATTGTGCTGCCGCTGTTCTTAAAAACCACAACTGTGGCTCCAGTTTTGCAGGAGGCTTTTTAAAGGTGAAGCAAGGGAGGCGCTCTTGGGCAACATGGGTTTCAATGAGCAGTGATGCTGGATCAGGGAAGGATGACTCTTGATTAGTTCCCTGCTCTGGCTGTGTGTCACTATGCAGGAGCATATCATAGTGTCACACAGCCAGAGCAGGTCTTTAGAAAGCATGCAAAACGGTCCGTTCACAGATCTTGCACTTGCTCCCCGAGACTGCTCCATGGAGAAGGCACAGTGCAGGCCCATTTTCGCACACTTTCCAGGAGTAACAATCTCTTGTCACAGCATGTGCTGCTTTGTCATGATCAGTGCCTGTCAGCGCTGATCTGCCTCTCTTAAAGTGAGATAAAGTGTGGGAGGCTGGAGGTGATTCTTCACTGGTTCTTTATGAGCACTTTGTGCTCATAAAGCACAAAGCCAATCGCTTTCCACACTGTGTATCTTTTACTTTAATTACAGAAAAAGTTGTTTTTGGTGGAATAGTAACTGAGTAGTGCAGCTTGTTCTGGCACAGAAACAGGGAATTGTCACTTGGAGCAGGGGTTTTTATATTTTTTGGCTGGAGGTGCCCCTTTCCAAAACATTACTCGCATTAGGGGCCCCTAATTTAAACAGAAGACAAATTATTTATTACGAATGCACATAATGCTACTATTAATTGTTAAATATTAAAAGCAGGACACAGTTCAGCACAGTTTGAAACTGCAGATTTTACACACTGCTAGACTGTGTTTTCCTCTGTTTTGGGGTACCCCTGGATACTTTGAAGACTCCCAGTAGACCTCAGCCTCTTCATTGAAAAGCACTGATCTCAAGCACAGGAGTATTTGCAAGGCATTAAAAAAAAGGACTTCATTTAAAGCCTTACTTATTTTTACAATAAAAAAAGAGTAATGATCTTGTCCCTCTTGAGTCGTCTCGGTTACATCAACATTCCTACAAATAGGACGTCCCTTCTTTTTAAACACTAAATCAAAGATAAAATAGCAGAACTTAGCATGCATTCTTCAGGGCAAACATTTAACCAGGAACCCAAATCAATAACAGAGAAACCCACTCCCAGTTTCTATGCAGAAATCCCATCAGAGTGTTAACATCTTTCGTGACACTTGTCCTTCGCCAATCACGTAACATTAAAAGCTTTTGGCAAAAGAAGAAAAAAACTTTCAAGAAAGGCAGATAGCTGAAGAACACAATCATGACAGTATTCTAAACAATGTAATGCTGATTAGCAACTGAGCTGTGTTTTTACGAAATATCGCACACAAAAACCACAGCACAGTCACTGGAAGATAACAGTTTGGGCCCACTGGCAGTAAAACATTTGGCCCGTCTAGCCATTGTGTTAGTTAGTTAGTAATTAATTGATCCAAGGATTTGATCTAGCTAATGCTTGAAAGAAGGTATTGGCTTTAACAACAAGGCCGGTAGCTTGTTCCATACTCCTACAACACTTTGAGTAAAGAAGTATCTCCAGTTCTTGGTTTTAAATGCACTTCCATGAAGCTTTTGAGCTACTATGTAAAACAGTAGTTCTTATAACAGTATCCTGTTGTAGTTATTATATTTTCTCTCCTGCATGGAGGGAAGGCACGTAGTTGCCCTACCTGACTGCTGCAGTATTTCAGTGCACTGGATGTTGTCTAAATAGTAGCTCAATGTATCTGCAAGGCTTTTTCAAATATGGGGTGATAGTGGAGTTAGAAGGTCTAACTATATTATGAAGGCTGTGCACTGTGAAGAATTCATTTGCAGTGTTATTAACAGTATGCACCAGAGGGCAGTACCAGTGTCCAGCACAGGCTGCATGTGACATGGACACAAATTGTAGTCACACTGAGTCACTATAGCGCCCTCTGGTGTCCACCACCTGCTGATCCCATTTGTATGTGTACTGTCCCACATGAATGTTGTGAATGTGAATGTTACACTGCACCTTTCCGTGGCACAAGTGCTTGTACTGTAACCCATCCAACTTTAATATGCTCCCTGTATATTGCATGGCCAGGCTGCTAAAGGATTTTTTTTCTCAAGCTCATCTCTTTCGTTCTGGCTAATGTGTTTTTGGAAATATCTAGATTTAATAATGCCATACCTGCAAAAGCAATTACCATTAAAATGTTGGCTAGGGGTCTCTTCTAAAGCCTGTTGGTAAGATTAGTGAGGTAGCAAGGAGAATGAGCCTCACAGAGCAGTGTAGGATGTATATGAAGCACTGTATTCGGCTGCAGCTTTCCAGGGATGATGTGAAAGAATATGTAACACCATAAAAGTGAAGCACTGATTTATTTTGGAAAGGGGTCTTCCTGAATTATATCCATAGTAATATAGATATATAAGGAGCCTTTTGGGGCACACATGACAGTTGTTTGGGAGCTGTTTTGTGTCAGTACTTGTACCTAATATAAAGTAACAGTCGACTGAAACACAGGAGCAATTTACTCCCTTTATTGTCCCTATGTAAAAGACATAATACAATACACTACAATTAACACAACATGGACCCATTAACAAATAAGAAACGTACATGCATAAGATGAGAAAAACAAGATACAGTAGATGCTATTAGCACGTTAGAGGTCATTTCACAATTTAGAAAGACAAAGAAGTTGGGTTTAGAGAATTATAAAATATGTGCATGATGAGAAAAATAAAGTAACATTTAACACTCAGTTGTCCTGATTAAGCAGGTTAATCACTGCGGGAATAAACAAAAACTTAGTTCTCTTGCTTTTGAATATAGGTGGTCTAAATCAAGTGCAATGGGGTGGTCATGGCTGTCATGGCTATATTGACCTTGAGCACTACTTGTTTGGTATAGATGTCTGCCAGCTGTAGGTGTTGTGCACCCATGACATTGCTGGTTTTATCGCATGGAGTCAGGTTGCCAAACCAGGCTACTACAGTAAACAGGAGCCTGCTGAAGTCACAGCTCCCTCGTTCTTCTCCTCATCCACCACAAGCAGTATGCTGCCTTGTCCTCCTGTCTCTCTTGCCCCTCGGTCATTTGTCCACTCTTTAATTTCCCCTCTCTTTCCTGGGTTCCTTGTTTGATTCTCCTTCCTCTCCTACTCATCCCGGATTTCTTTTCCCTGCAACTGTTTTTCTTTCCCTCTCTGCTCCTCTCTCTCCCCTTCTTCGTCCAACCTTTTTCCCCATGAGGGCCCTGAGCTGCAGGATTTGTTAACACAATGCGTGTTAACAATTAGGATTGTTTTGTGAAGTCACATCAAATTCCAAACATCTCTGCTAAGTATGTGAAAAAAAAAATTGAAACAGAGGAACAAAAATAAAAAAAAACATATCCTTAGCCAAAAAATCATATCTCTCCTTGCCAATCCACATCCATCTGTACACTGTGAATGAACTACAGATAGAGAGTAGTATAAAGAGAGTGGTAATGTCATCCCTTTTGTGAAAAGTGACTCATTTAAGATGGTTGACTGATGCTGTAGAGTAAAAGTTTTCTTTCTAATAAATTTGTATCCATTACATGCAAACTATTTTACAAATCTTGCGAATATATCAGAGTTAGGTTCCTGTCAAATGCTGGCTGTACATATAGAAGCAGCTGTTGCTACACACTGCCTGTTGTAGCTTAGCACTTTGTACTAGGATTTTGTACTGGGATCTAAGCAGCTCAAGGAAAGAAAAGCATGAAAAATCATCTTAGTTTGATGCAATATAGCCATCCCTAACAATAAAAGTTCTCCGGGGCTTCAACAGCTGGGGGAAAAGGTTCTCTCTAGAACACCCATCACCCTTTAGTCCTGATCTCTCACGTACAGTAGGGTGTGCTCAGGCGAGCTGGACCTGGTGAGTTATGACGAAGACCCAGAGGCAATTTGGTTGTCAATACAATCACAAGTATAGACTGATTCTATTCTTTAATTCACAGTGATAGTGAATAGTAAGTTAGGGCATAATAACACACATGTACTAAAGATATTTTCTATTAACTCATATTGAAAACTAAAGGGAAGTCTGTAAATAGTAACATAAAGTCACATGGAAAAGAAAAAAAAAACATTCTGCTCTGCACACACAGAAAAGACCAATACTACTATACTGTACAATAACAACAGAAAACAACATCCTGTCAACTATGACTGTGGACCAATGATTATATTCCACTTGGACAGCATATTATTATTAGTCACACAGAAGATCAAGGAAGGCAAACAACAAAACAGAGTAAATAAATGATTAGCAATGAGGATTATTAAATCAGTGTTGCAAGGTCAGGCTGCACAGGCTGCGAAGGATTAAGTTTTGTCTGCGTGTTGCATTTTCAGCGAACGTCCTTGCTTTAAATGTTCTTTCCTTGTCAGAGGAAATCTCCCTGCATTGTAGACCTCCAGCTGAGAATCTCTGAGATTCCTCTCTGCCACAGAGAAACAGCAGAGTAGATTTATCACAATGTTTAGCGTCACTCTCTGGGGTTTACTGATGATTTAGCTGGCCTTTATTCCATTTTACTGTGCTTTTACTGCAATGTAACACGGTATGCCTTTAGACTTGTAGAGCCAGTAGCTTTACTGTATGAAATCCCTATGGGCAGTTAAAGGTGACTGAGGGATCTGCTGTTCACTCACTGGGATTCGATCACTGGTGATGGTGGACTCTGTGCATGCACAGCACTGCTCTCTAGACAACAGAGAACTGCCAAGCCAGAAGACTGGGTCAGAGGTCCACAGTGTCTAGGTTTTAAGGAGATGATGTAATTTCTGTAACTTGTTCAATGAACTGATCCCTGTTACACATCCAGTATGTCAGAATTTCACTCTTTGACTTCTTGTGGACAGCAAATCCACAGATCGGAGTTTGTTAAACTTTGGATGGTTGGCAGCAAGCTGCTGTTCCAGTCTTTATTCGTTGGGATTTTTTAAAAGATATTGTTCTGTTAAACACCCTTGAGATCACAGCGACAAAAGTACCCATGATTTGTTATTTAAGAGATGGCTAGGGTTAGACTACAGCAGCAAGAATTGTTGTTGCAGATTCATTTCCATCAGCCCTTCGGTTTTACACAGACAAATTTTCAGATATGTGTTTTAAAATAAAAATACAAGTAAAACAGAAGTAAAACAGAAGAAAAGCATGCCTGGTGAAATAGGAATAATAATAAAAAAAACATTCCTGACAGATCGTAGAGGGAGCTGTGGAAATTGACACTTTCAGTGAAATTCTAAAACAAAATCCATAGAGACAGCTGAGTCTCTGCAGCCCCACACAGCTCCCCATGTGATACATCTTGTAAAAAAAAAACAAATTCACTGCATGAGAAACCATACGGAGGGAGGTAATTTCTGCAGTGCCCTGACAGAAATGTTCTGACTGTTTCTTCAGAAGAACAGATCAGAAACCCTTATTGTGATCCATGTCTGTACAGATTGTTTCAGAAGTCTGCAAATGCAGTTTTATGAATTAAAGAAGTCACAGCTCAGTACAGTGTAGATTTGAAATAGGTTTATTAGGAGAGGCCTTGTAGAGAGACCCTATGGCTCTCTCATTCCTCAGCTCTAAAGCCCAGGTATGTCTAGGTGCTTTTTATACCCCAGAGACCATCACAAACAACCTCTTATACCATAAGTGTTGTGTTAGGAAGCAATCAGTATGTAAATATATTGAAACACTAACAAGAATGTGAAAGGACATACTTGATACGAACATATGCATACATTTTAACAGAAGGGAAATTCTGACATCCAGCAGCTCAGAAATGTCACTCTACAGGGGCCTAGTCAGTGAAAAAAGATCCAGTGTTGCAGCAGCTGGTTTGTCTTTTAAACATGAAGGAAGTCTGACTAAATTTCACACTGTTCAATTTCAAAGTGACTCAAAACATATAAGATCAGAAATAGCTTCACATGTTGCTGACACTGATTTTTCAGACGTGACTCACCGGAACAAAACATACTGTGGGAAACAAAGAAATGACACTGGAAATGTAAACAGTCATAGGAGACGAAGGCATTCCTACATTTCATTAATATCCATCTGACTGAGGAGAAACTCGTTCTAGTTATTTCTACAGCTATAGAGGTCTGGAATGACTCCAGGGAGATCTCCCTAAATGTTTATCTTTTTCAAATAAATATGAAACTGAAAGCATGCTGCAAAAAGGGAAATATAACTGTTTGCTATAAAAGCCCTGCATGATTCTCACATTTGTCGGTGGTGCTGATAAAACCTAATCTAAAACGGTTTCCAAAATACTTCAATACTGTACCTCAATGTGCTTCAAATTTCCTGACATGTGCTTGTCTGTGCTTTGCAAGGCCTCCATCTGGCCACTCTTAACTCACACAGACACACACTCAAAAAGCACAAAGGAAGGCTGAAATCGCCAAGCTGCTTTTAATTAGTTCTTTTACAGTATATGAGGAGGAGTCCACCAAGGCACACAGATTTCAGACCACATTGAAATCTATCCACTGTGACGTTCCCAGGTGAATCAGAAATGAAGTCTGCATCACAGTCTTAGGCTGCCAAAATGTCTTTTGACTATGTTCGGGTTGACCCTCTAGTTCTTAAGTATAGATGAAAATAGGTAGGTTCCCTATTCAAACCACAGTCCAGAGTTTAACCTGGTTTACATGGAAAACGTGAAAGCTCCTCTTTTGGGTGCTAAAGGGATCTGATAAACCGAACTGGGCTAACATGACATTACTTTAGGAACTACTCTGCAGTTATCACTTTACAAACTGCTCCTTCCAAGTGAAGGACAGTGCAAATAAAAAGATCATACTGACTAGTAACAGCACCAAACAAGCTCTCTGTAAACGCAAGGTCTGTGTTTTTTAAATGTCTAGCTGTGCATTGGCCGCCAATGTAGGAGATAAGGCTGGTAGTAGGGTCTAGCCTGGAAAGACAGTCATTAAATAAGAAGTGTGCACTCTAAGGGTAACTTTTCTTGGGATGTCCTAGAGCTCTGAAATTCTATTCCCCAATTCCAGGATAGCAGAGAGTCACATTCGCTAAGCGCTTTCAAATCCAGACTCAAAACATTCTTCTTCAGAAGGGCTTTCACTTGATTGGCTCTCTATCTGCTCCTCGCATCTTCTTCTGCATTCTAAACCCTTGTTTTTTAATCATGCTAATTCCGTTACCCCTTCTCCTTGTTAAGTTTTTTCTGTTTCTGTAAAATGCTTTGAGAAGTTACTTTAAAAGGCGATATATAAAATAAAGCTTTTGCCATAGTAAGAGCATTGTGCAATATGAATTTACTTCTTTTGAAAAGCAGCTTTAGTTTTCTTCTTCTGGGAGGGTCTAAAGACCCTCAGGTCCTCAACAGATCTTCACCTCTTTTTTTATGTCTACCACCTCTCTGCGTCCTCTAAAAATAAAGTCTCTGACTGTACAAATTGTCTTTTCAGATCTGGAAGTGTGCAGCACCACTGGAACGAAATCTATTTCTTTGTCGAACATCTGGCTCACAAATTTATAAGGTAAATCCTGCCACTGACGAACTCTGACATGAAAATGACGCAAGATAAGACAGGAGCATTTTCTGTTGTTTTGTTACTTTTGCCTTTTTTTTAATTCCAAGCATGTGTTATACTATACTGAACACTTTCTCCACCCTAAATTAGAAACTGTAAGGTGCAGAGATCTAACCCTAGAACACAATCCTAGAACAATTTGCCAGTGGGCTCTGGGATACGAAAATTGCCAACCCCCATCCCAGTCTCTTCCACTCCTACTTCTTTTGGCCAACATCTACTTGCAATCAATGCTGACTGCATATTGTGCCATTTTTATAACGGACATAGTGGAGAGGCATGTACAGAGCACTGCAAATTGAAGGTGCATTTAAATTGTAATATATAACAAAGAAAACATCACCCTTATCCAAAAGAGCTGAAAAAGTGAGCCTCAGTTTGCTGTTGTTTTTAATTTAGGAATATTTAAGTTCCCCTCTATGGATGTTAAATTAATCTCTTTGTGCTACATTTTTCTCGCTTAGGAGTGCATCCAATCATGTGGTCAGTTAAATGCAGTTTGTTTGTACTCTTCAACAATTACCTTGATTAGTGAAGTACGTGTGTCCCCCTGGCAATCTGTCATCTCAGACTCTGGTGCCAGCCAGTCTCCTGTGGCTCACACATTCTGACAGATGTTGAGAAGCAGGGTACGGGTGTGTTGTGTAGTTTCTACTGCAGCAGACTTGCTGTGAGCAGGTCGCACTGATCCGAAACTGACCTGAAGATCCGATCTTCTCTCTCAGCCCCCAGCTGCGGATGTCTTTCATCGTGTTCTCCACTGAAGGCCGGATCCTGATGCGGCTGACTGAAGACAGGTGAGCGACTTCTTCATCAGCAGGCTAATCTTCAATCCAGACGTCACAGCTTGCTGCATTTGCTGTAGTGAAAAATGGGGAAAACCCACAGGATGAAGATCTTAGATGCATCCAGAGTGAGCAATTTTGTCAGGGTTTTTTTAACAGACAGGATGGCAAGACCTGACTCTCCATCCATTCCCCTTCAGGTAATCAACAAATTGTAACTCAACACCCAGGGTACATTTAGGAAAGAGAACCAGACCCACAAACAACCAACAATATTGGACCGCATGCCCTGTTTATGCCTAATTTATGACAAGTCAGAGTTAGTCCTAGAAATGTAGTTATGACCAGCACTTACACATAGATGAGTTCTCCTCACTCATTGTACAGTTCATTTCCCTGTTTTTGCTTAGCATGTATCATCCAAAGTTCTGAAATACTAAAACTCACATATATACTGGAAGTGTCTAGTTCTTCCTAGTGCTCCTTTGCATAAAAATAATAATTAAAATTAGTAATAATAAGCTTTAGATAGCACCCCTCATACATGAATACTGAAAGTTAAGAACATCTACCAAATTAGACCAACTTTAGTTTGGTTTGTAGAGCCATCATTGAAAGAATGGAAGACTGTGAAATATTTGCCGTCAAATGAGTATTCCAAGGAGATGCCATGTCTCCCTTTATTTTTTTACTTATCAATAATATCAATCACCATGCTAAACATACCATTTATTTATCATTAATACTACCAACATGCTAAACAAGCTAAAGTCAAGATAGGCTTTGCAAAAGATAAAGATGACTACATCAGCCATTTTCTTTGGCTGATCTCAAGTTTTTCTGACAAAACTGGCTCACATCAGGCTCTGAATACAGTATTTAAGAACACTGAATATGTCAAAATGGACTTTGGACTTCTTACAGTAAGTACACTATCATTTGCACTATCATTTAGAGCTAAAAACGCCAGTTGAGGGTTTGTAAAATGTCAAAATATCCAGCTGGATGATAAAACAAGATGAGATATACAGGTACTTTGGCATTGATGAAAGCGATGGTAATCAACTTTCTAGCATGAAAGACATTATCAAACGGTAGAATTACCAAGTCAACCACGTACAGTACTTGCTGAAACAAAGATCAAGATAGCATCTATTCTAGTCTCCATGTGCAGCTTTGGAATAATAATAATAATAAATCACAAACTTGTTTGTCTGAAACATGAATTCTCCACTATATCTGGTGCAGTGCTATTGCTCAGAGGTTTCATTGTACTAATTAAAATCTCGGGCACTTCCATTTCTTTGAATATGTGCATGACGCATCTGGCATCATCAAGTATTGGGTGTGAAAACAGAACATTCAGTCCTTTGGAACATCTTCTGTTATTATTTTTATAATTTTTTATAATTCCTCAACTAAAACTACAGATAATCCCTTACAACAGTATAAAAAGTGTAGCACTCTTTGAAAAACCTTATTCCCCTTTTCAAAACTCCTCTTGTTTCAAATTGTGATAAAAGAGAAAGGCATTTTCCATCTAAACAAGTCTACCTCAAGCCATTCGACGCAGTTGGGCCACAACATCTAAACAAGTTCACCACAACCCTGGACTGTCAGAGGTATAGCTCAGGCCCAGCTGAGTCACAGTGGAAATGGCCTCCAGCTACACCTGGTCCTTAACATCAGTTATTTCTGGGAAAAGAGAATGCAAATAGGACATCTCTCCTTGTCTCTGTCTATCCAGGGATCAGATCCGGGAGGGGCTGGAGGAGCTGCAGAAAGTGCTCCCAGGAGGAGACACATACATGCATGAGGGCTTTCAAAGGGTAAGTGAGTGAGTGAGCTTCAGGTGAGGGGTATCAAACAAGTTGACAGGGTCATTCCTTGATATTATTAGGTAGAGTGGTGGACTGAGAGTCCCACGTTGATATAACAGAACTCTATACTCTGTTTATTCTCTGAATTATGAGACAAGTGCTTTCACGAGGAATAACGACATCCAAGAATCAGATATTTTGTGGACGTTGGAGTATACAAATATGATCAATTTTGACCTAAACTGCTTGGTTAAGAGTTAGACCCCCTTTTCAGAGGGAGGAGTTAACCAAGGGGGTAGCTGCAACGTGGAGAAAGTGTGCAGGTGTGATGAATGCAAATAAATGCAAGACGAGATGTAGGCAAGAGTTATATGTGTAACGGAAGTTGGCAATTATTGAGATATAAAACACCCTGATGAGACTGGCTTGTCTGTCATTATCCCTTTTGAACTTAAGGACTTGTATTTACTGACCATGGTGCTTGAATTTTACCCAATAATTCAAAATTAGCTAACACAGTCTTACTTTGTTTGACTTCCTGGTTGAAATTCCCTGTTGTCCCTTAAACCTCTTTCTTCTCCTGCAGGCCAGTGAGCAGATCTACTATGGGAATACAGAAGGTAAGGTGATGGTAGAGAAATATCACTGCAGTTTCTCTGGCTGTTTCTGTTTTCTTTATATGTTTTTCACACTGTTTATAGAGGTTTTTGTAGGATTCTCTGGTGGTTTTGTTAAAAAATGTGCCCTGGCAAGAAAGGCCTCCACATGAAAATATTTCAAGCAGGTATGCTGTATCAGCATGCGTAGGCAGCAAAGGAACAAGTAGAGGTTCATTCCATGCTGGAAAGAGAAGAAAGGAAACACAACGTTTCAGCTGTGGGGCCTTCTTCAGGT